TGGGCCAGGACCAAGCCTCCGCCCTCAGAGTAAGTGGCTGCAAAGTCTGTCTTGGCACTTGCTGAGTGTAGAATGTCCCCTTCTGCCTGCCCTCTTAGAAGGGTGCCCACTCTGCTGGGGTCTCTGCCGCAAGCTGGAAAGCGTGGCCACCGGCCCTCTCCCTGATCCGTGCGCTGTGGGCTTCGCCAGGCTGTTTAGGGCCTCATTTCTGCCTTTCCAGTCCCTTGGGTTGAGCCCGGCCTGTCCCGTCTGCCGTCCAGTTGTTGGTTTTGCAGTGCTGGGTGGTCCTGGCAAGGGTCGACAGAGGACCAGGAACTTGAGCCCCTGATCAGAGCTTGTTCCCGAACCTAGCTGAATCCCGTCAGAGTCACTTCAGGAGTTGGCGAAAGAGCCTCGTCTCCAGCCTCCCCCTAGTCCAACCAAATGAGAATCTGTGTTTTTAACAGGCTGCCCTGGGGAACGTCCCAGAACCAGCCAGCCATGGTCACTGGTCCCCTCATCCAGTGTCTGGCCAAGGTCTGCAGGACCGTGTGGCACTACGTGCTGGGGATACTCTTTTCTTAGAGGCCACTGTTGGCTTGAGGTTAAGGTGGGGTTCAGTAACGTCCAGGAGCGAGCTGTCCTGCCTGTCCTCATCGGGGATTCCGAAGGGGCTCGTGTTTGCAGGGGCCTTGGTCTGGCCCTGAAATGTGAGAGGCTTTGTTTGCTCGTCTTGGCTCATCCCCACAGCCTTCCCTGTTCACGTCGGAACTGATGATACCGTACATATCGGGGATTGCTGTGTGGCTCTGCCTTAAACAGAGCTGCCTTTCCTATGGCCTGCACAGGGCTATTTTGTTTGTTCCAAATACATAATCATTCTTCACGACAAGAATTGTATCGTTCTGGGATTAATTAAGATGAGTTGCTTTGTAGGACCATAAAAATGTACGATGAATTTTGAAGCTTCATCCTAGATGAAGCTTCTAGGATCAGTTTATCTCTTCCTTGGAGAAGGCGAGGAAACAGATGCCCAGAGGGTGACCTTGGCTTGGCTGAGATCACGCAGCAAAGGGCTTGGAGAGCTGGGGCCAGACGCCACGTTTGTGGTTATTGTCCCGGTTCCCTTTCTCTTAGGACCATGTAACTCGGGGACCTTACCTGCTTCAGCTCCCAACCAAAAGGCGGCTTGAGATCACAAGACTTTCGGCTCATCTGATCTCTTACTGGCCCATAGTAATTTCCACCGGATCTTGCTACAGTTGGCAGTGGAAAGTGTCATTTAGAAAAGGTGGGCGTCTGCAGGTTCCAGCCTTCGAGCAGCACGAGCGACCCACGCCCCGGCTGGAATGAGGGCAGCTCCGTGGTGTCTGTCTCAGGCACTGGGGTCACTGTGTTGAAGGTGCCACCGCTAAACAGAGTTTGCAGACACTGTCAGTCAGGAACTCGCCCTAGTTCTAGCGGCAAGTCCAGTACCGAGCATCCTGATGACCCTGCCGGGGCCGGGGCAGTGCTTGTTGAAGCAGCGACTTGAGGCTGTTTTTGTCAGGGCTGTCTGGTTTCTCTGGGCTGTGAGATGTGTGGGTGTATGTGACTGCTCCTAGTATACGAGGCCACATCTCAGGCACACCCTCCCCCCCGCCTAGGAGGTCTCCGGCGGCGAGCTCATGCCATCGGCCAGGTGTCCACCCCAACCTTCCCTGTCAGACACGACAGTTACTTTTGGGTTTTTTTGTTTTTGTTTTTTGGTGAATGAGGGGGTCCCTTGACCTTCAGAACCTCATGCGATCCCTCCTCCCCCTCCTCTTTCCTCTCCCCTTTGCCCCCTTTCGATTTCCAGATGTGACAAGCTGGAGGGAGGGCGGTGGGCGAAACATAATTTCTGCCACGTCTCTGAGCGCCTCCCCAACTGAGCTGGGCAGCAGGAACTCGAGTGCGGGAGACGGAGCCCCCTCCTCGGCATGTACCAGCGATTCTAAGGACCCCTCTCTCCGCCCGGCTCAGCCTGTCCGAAAAGGGGCTTCACAGTTCATGGGGAATGTATACCACCCACCTACATACCATGATATGCTTCCTGCTTTTGTAAGTCTTCAGAGTGTACATTTTTTTTGCCCCATGAAGTTGGATTGTTTACGTCCAGCAGAGCCTAGTTCAAGTGGTTGAAAGTCCACCTTGGATTCTCCCTCCCGATTCCACTCTTTGCCCTGATACCTCACTTTGGAGGTTTCCATTAGTTTTGCATTTTCGCTCCCCACTTTTCAAATCTTAAGGGCCTCTGACTTCATTCCCAGTGATGTGGATATTATTTTAGCCTCGATTCTTTGGAAAAAGGAGAGGCAGGTATTCCCTGATACAAGTCCCCAAATCTACTTACTGACAGCAGGACAGAAATGGGGGAGATGGTGGCAGGATTGATTAGGAAACCCCAAGACTTTCCTGTTTCTTTTTCCCGTTTTCCATTTTCGAAAGCAAATTTTAATTTAGGTGGAACCTGAAATTTAGGCCATTACCAGAAAATCCTGTTCATTGATGTTATGTTTCAGATGTGTTCGCCACAGTCATCAGAGAACCAGGGTACAGTGGAACGAGGCTCTTTCCCCCTTCCTCAGCTCCGCCTTGAACCCCGTGTTCCTTTTAGACAGTTCCAGATGAATGACCAAGATGGGTAAGGCCATTGCATTGCAGTCATGTGTGCAGAGATTTCTCCTGGTGGTGAAGCTATTTAAGATAATGGACCGGTGCATGAAAGTGCTTTGTCTCCTGGAGACCACCGAGCCATTAACAACCAACTCAGTACCCCAGGGCTCACGGGGAAGCTGGGACTTGGTGCTGAATGCGAGATGGGGTTATGATTTCAGCCTCCTGGCAGAGTTGGAATTCTGGCATGTGCTTGCTGCTGCTGCCCTAAACATGAGCAGTGAGCATATTAAACTGCAGGATGGCGCCAGGCGCGGTGGCTCACGTCTGCAATCCTAGCACTCTGGGAGCTGAGGCGGGAGGATTGCTCACAGTCAGGAGTTTGAAACCAGCCTGAGCAAGAGCAAGACGCCATCTCTACTAAAAATAGAAAGAAATTAATTGTCCAACTAAAAATATATAGAAAAAATTAGCTGGGCATGGTGGTGCATGCCTATAGTCCCAGCTACTCGGGAGGCTGAGGCAGGAGGATTGTTCGAGCCCAGGAGTTTGAGGTTGCTGTGAGCTAGGCTGACACCACGGCACTCTAGCCCGGGCAACAGAGGAAAAAAAAAAAACAAAAAACCTGCAGGATGAGGCAGAATGGTCTCTCTGGAATGTAATTTATTTTATATGTTGCTTTTAAAAGGAAATGACATAAATATTAAATCAAGTGTCTGATTTTGTTTCCGTCTGCATATTGAACATGAGTCCATCATCATCTTTATTTTTCTTTTTCTCATCAGAAAAGAAAAGCTGGGGATGGCCCGTCCTCTGCGCCCACTGAGGCAGCTGGTAGAACGTGCGCCACGGCCCACCATCATCAATGCGGAAAACCTGAAGGGCCTCGATGATCTGGACACTGATGCTGACGATGGCTGGGCAGGTGGGTCGTGATGCTTGCTGGTGGGTGTGCTAGGAGGGCAGGACCATGGTGTGTTCTCCCTTGGCAAGACGGGAGCCCAGGTGCGAGGCCAGGGAAGCAGCTGCGGTGGCCTGCATTTGTCCTCATCTTCAGTGGGCCCAGGGGTTACCTCCTGACCAAGCCCTTAACCTTCTTTTGGTCTTTGGTCTTGATTTTACAGTGTTAACATCTTTTTTCCCTGTAGTTTCAATGGCTAGAAAAGTGATGTTAACTTTTTTAAAAAACGGTTGATGGAAAATTTAAACAAAATAAAATAATCAGCTCCCAGCTACCCATCACCTAGCTTCAGTAAGTACCAGTCTCCAGCCATTCTCTTTTTTTGTTGTTTTTTTAAGAGGTGCATCTCACTATGTCATCATGTTGTCCTGGCCAGAGTACAGTAGCTATTCACAGGTGTGATCGTAACGCATTGCAGCCTGGAACTCGTGGGCAGTGATCCTCCTGCCTCGGCCTCCCGAGTAGCTGGGACCACAGGCATGCGCCACTGCGCCGGGCTTGTTCTGCTGTTCTTATTTCTTTAGCTCCACCCACTCCTCACCCCCCCCAACCAGATGATTTTCTTCTGTGATTCTTTTTGTTGTTTGTTTTTTTTTTTTTTTTTTTTTTTTTTTTTTTTTTTAGGTTTCTACTTCTGTGTGAAAAACTTTGTTGTTTGTTTTCTGGTAAATTTTAGTTACATTGAAAGGCACACAACTTAACTGTACAGTTTTGAAAAATGGATACGCGTGTGTCACATAGACCTACATTGAGATACAGTACATTCCAGAGTGTGTGCCTGCCTGGCCAAGAGTATGCTGCTCTCCTGGTTAATTTTGCCATAAATGAGTTTTGCCTGTTATCGAACTTCAAATGAATGGAGTCATAGTTTTTACTTTTGTATGATGTTTTTGATAGTCATCAATGTTATATATATCAGTTGCTTTTATTTGCTGCGATATGTTTCATTGTGTCAATATACTATATTCAAAAGTGCTATTATAAATAGTATTTTTATTTTTCTTGGGTAGATATCTAGAAGTGTTGGGTGAAAGGGCAGGGTGTGGTTAGGTTTGTAAGAGCCGTCCACCCCTCCCCTGTGGTGTGCCATTCCGAGTTCCCAGCGGCAGTGTGTGGGAATCTGGCTACTCTATATCCTCATAACATTTGCGTGTTTGTCTTTTTAATTTTAGCCATTCTGGTGGGTGTGTAGTGGTATCTCATTATGCTTTTAATTTGCATTTTGCTGATGACTAATGATGATAAACATGCTTTCATGTGCTGTTTGACTACTGATACATTGTCCTTGTTTGGTGTCTGTGCATTGTTTTTTGAGTGATAGGATACCAGTCCTGGATGCAAGTCCTTTGCAGCTTGCATTTTGTAAATTTTTTTTATTGCATTCCTGTGTATTCATTTTTTTACCATTGTGTTTTGATGAGCAGAAATTTTTATTTTTATTTTATTTTTTTATCTTTCAGTTATTTAATTAGGTTCTTTGTAAAAATTTAGAACACCAATCTGTGAGGATAAAATCCATTTGTCAGGGCATACAGAGATGGCAGATAGCCCTGGAGCTGAGGAATTGCCTTGATTTTTGGTAAACTTTGGGAGTCCACGGCTTTCTGATCCACTTTGCACCACCGTTCTGTAATCTCATATTTTCCCTTTTCTGGGTCGAAGATCTCATCCTCCTGGTGTCTGGGCTTCCGCAGCTGCTGCTTCTTGAAGCGAGCATCAGTGAGGTGCTTAGGGATTTTCACATTGCTGATGCAATATTCGTGGCGATGACAAATTTCTGGTGTGTCCTTTACAGAGGAACTCGATTAAGGGACAGAGGTCCAGTCACAAGTAACAAGCCACTGCCCAGTTGCTTCAGGAAAAGCACCCTCTTGCCTCTGTGGCGTCTGGTGAGGATGATGAGGATGGTCCCGGGAGTGGTGCTCGCTCACAGTCTTCTCACGTGTTGGCCAAACGGTTTTTTGCCGTGGCTCAACAGCTTTTGAGGCACATCTTTGGTTGGATAGTACCTAGGCATTTTGGGAAGTTTAACCACCCGAGTGCCACCATTCTTGTCACCGCCAGCTGGTTTTGTAACAGTAGCGAGGACCTTCTCCTCTTTCTTTTCAACCTTGGATTTAGCCACTGAGTATCTCCTCTTGTGCATGGCCTTCCGAGAGTACATGGCAGATCGGGAATATCTGCCTTTTCCTCTGATGAGAACAGGATTTTGGCTGCAGTGCGGCTTCCCCTTCTTAACCTTTTTAGCCTTTAGGTTAGCCTTTTTCACTTTGCCACTGGCATCAGCCTTCTCGGCTTCAGGTTTCTTCTCTTTAGTATCTGGCTTCTCAACTTTTTCACCCACCATCTTGCAAGATGGGAAAGAGCAGAAATTTTTAATTTTGAAGTTTAATTTATAAATTTAGGGATTTTTATGGTTATTACTTTTGTGTCCTGTCTACAAAAATCTTTACCTCCCATTAGTGGTAAAGATATTCCCTGATATTTTATAGTTTAACCATTTTAGGTCTTTGATTCACATTGGATTAATTTTTGCATATGGTATAAGTAGGAATCAAAATTAAATTTTTTTTCTATATCGATAATCCAGTTTTTCTGCACCAGCTGTTGATAAGCGTTCCCTTTCCCTACTGAACTGCTTTGGCACCTTTGCCAAAAATCAATTGACCACAAAAGTGTTGGTCTATTTCTGGACGCTATTTGTTCATCCTCATGCCAGTACCACACTGTAGTTTATAGTAAGTCTTAAATTTAGGTAGTATGAGTTTTCCCACTTTCTTTTTCAAAATTGCTTGACTATTCTAAGTTCTTTGCATTTCCATATAAGTTTAGAATTAACCTGTTAGTATTTACAAAGAACCTGCAGGCATTTTGGTTAGGATTTTGTTGATATTATTTATCTTGGAGAATATTCTCAGTGCGCTTGAAAAGAATACACACTCTATACATTTGTTGGGTATCATGTTTTGTAAATATCAATTTAGTCAAGGTGTTTGACGGTGACAATCAGATCTTACATACTTAGTGATTAGTGATATTTTTGTCTGGTTCTGTTAGTTACTGAAAGTTAGGTATTAAGCTCTCCACTCTTGTTATGGATTTATCTATTTTTTCCTTTAATTCTGTTGGTTTCTGTTTCATTTATTTTGAAGTTGTTATTTTGCATACATATTTGTAGTTTTTTTTTTTTTTTTTTGAGACAGAGTCTCGCTTTGTTGCCCAGGCTAGAGTGAGTGCCGTGGCATCAGCCTAGCTCACAGCCACCTCAAACTCCTGGGCTCAAGCAATCCTACTGCCTTAGCCTCCCTAGTGGCAGGGACTACAGGCATGCACCACCATGCCCGGCTAATTTTTTCTATATATATTAGTTGGCCAATTAATTTCTTTCTATTTATAGTAGAGACGGGGTCTCACTCAAGCTGGTTTCGAACTCCTGACCTAGAGCAATCCGCCTGCCTCAGCCTCCCAGAGTGCTAGGATTACAGGCGTGAGCCACCGCGCTCCGCCTATATTTGTAGTTTTTATGTCTCCCTGGTATATTGACCCTTTGTGATAGTTCCACGTCCCTCTTATCTCTAGTATTGCTTGTTATCTTGTGGTCTGTTTTGTTCTGAGTTTATGCCATCACTGTCACTTTATTTATTGTTTTCGTGGAATGTTTTTTTCTATACTTTTCCTTTTAACCCATTTGTGTTCATATTTAAAGAAAGTGATTATTTAGGCCAGTGGCTCATGCCTGTAATCCCAGTACTTTGGGAGGCCTAGGCGGGAGGATCACTTGAGAACCAGGAGTTCAAGACCAGCCTGAGCAACATAGTGAGACCCTGTCTCTACAGAAAATAGACTAACTAGCCAGGCATTGTGGCTCATGCCTGTAATCCCAGCTGCTTAGGAGTCTGAGGCAGGAGGATCACTTGAGCCCAGGAGTTTGAAGCTGTTGTGAGCTATGGTGATGCCACTGCACTCTAGCCTGAGCAGCAGAGGTAGATCTCAAAAAAAAAAAAAAAAAAGTGATTATCTAGCAGACAGCATGTATTTGCAATCTGCTTTTCATTTAACTCTGCCATTTAATTTGATTGGGTCTTTAATGTTACCTTTTCTTAAAAAAAAAAAAAAAGGGTTCACACAAATTTTCATGTAACATAAAGTTCACCCTTTTAAAGTCTACAAATTTGTGACAAGGTTTTGCAACTGTCACCACTATCGAATTCCAGATTGTTTCCATCACCCAAAGAAACCCCAAACTTGTTAACAGGCACACTGTCTGCCCTGAGTCCTCTGGCAGCCGCTAACTTCTCTCTGTCACTGTGGATTTGCATTTCCTGGACATTTCATGGAAATGGAATCAAGCAGTGTGGAACTGTTCATGTCTGACTTCTTCACTTAGGTTAATGTTTTCAAGGTTAATCATGTTGTAGCATGTAAATCCATATTAGTTCTTCTTTATGGCCAAGTAATATTCCATTGCTACCCTATAGATTTTGGTGACTCACCCCTCAGCTCATGGACACTCTGTCTCCCGTGCTGGGCAATGCCTGCGGCTAAATTATAGCTCACATCTCTCACTGGTAGCGTTTCTGCACTTCACGGGTAGACTTCTGTTTGGTTTCTGCCTGCTTTGCTGATTCTCTTGTGCCTTGAAATATTAATACATTTTAAAAATATTTTGTCCAGATTTAAAAATTGTTATCTGTGGGAGGGCTAGTCCAACCAAGCCACTTTGCTCTCACCAGAGTGGGAGCTGCCCTTGTCCTAGTGCAGGCAGCTGGCTGGTGTGACCCCCTGCTCCACTGGGGCAGTGTGATTTCCCACTGAAGGAGGCTCTGCCCCAGTACCCTGGGCACCGCTGACATTCTCATCTCTTCCTCGTCCCTCTTGTTGTAGGCCTCCATGAAGAAGTGGACTACTCTGAGAAATTGAAGTTCAGTGATGATGAAGAGGAGGAAGAAGTTGTGAAGGATGGCAGGCCGAAGTGGTAAGGCTCCCTGTCTCTGCTCTGGCACCATCCCAGTGTCACCTGACACCAGCGCCGTGTGAGCACGTTCATGCTTATGGGTGCTGCTACATGGTCACCGTGCGGAGTGCATTTCCTAGTTTCCATAGCAACCCCAGAGGGCAGATGTTCTTTCCCTTTTGCTGTGGGGATGACAGCTACTGAGGGTAGCTGTTACGGAGTGGAGCGAAGGTTCGTACCAGGTGTGCGCTGAGTCCTGTGCTCTGTGAACCTCGTAACCATGTGCCAGTGTTTCCTGAGTGTGTTATGCACATGCTTCTTCCACGGATGTTCGTGGGTATCAAGCCCCAAAAGGCTTCTGTGGCAGAGCAAGTTTGGGAAACCACCCTGGGTTCAACTTTCTTCTTTATGGCAAGATCTTGCGGTTCCTGAAATGTGCTGGGGTAAGTTAGGAAGGCGGGAGCCACATTGCCCAAACGCGTCTGGCCACTTTTCTTTCTTTTTTGGATCGCTTCATTAGACTAGTTTTACTCAGTGCCCTTTGGGAAATGATTGCATTGTATCCTGGTCCTTCCAGTTTGTATTATAGTATCAGTAGCGTTGGCTCGTACTTTTTGAATACTACCTGTGGTTGCATTTTTGTGAGTACTAGCAAATAAGAATGCTTTTCTCTATGGAGTTGCCTATTTCCTTTACACATTTATCACATTTATTAAAATGCGATTAATGCTTTAAATTGTTAAGATATTCATGCTTTGTTATGTTGCAGATTTTTTTTGGCCTATTTTCTTGTCAATAAGTGGATGTTTATACAGTCAAGCCTGTGGGTCTGTTTTTTGTTATTTCTTTTTTCACTTCAAAGCCCCTGCAGTGTCCCTTTCCTGGAAGGAGCTGGTGACAATCTTCCCCTGCTCTTTCTCTGATGATACACAAAACATTAGCTAGTTGAGGCTTCTGTTATTTATTTTCATGCTTTTTAATTTCATCCAAAGCTTTGGATGTAGCTGGGACATATCTACAGGTCATTTATTGGAACACTAAACTCAGAAGGAGATGTGACCAAGGATTTTAATCAAAGGCAGAGACGTAAAATCTTACAGGCTTATTGGAGCAGCAGGACACTTTGTTCCTTGTCTCTTTCAGGGAATGTGAATTGAACAATTCAGTTGAAAATTAGACATGGGTTTTGGGCCCAGCTTTGTTACTGGCCGTGACCCAGGACACCTCACATTCAGAATGTCCAAACTACTTCCTCCTGAAACAAGCTCTTTTTTTTTATATTCTCTGAGCTGATTGACACCCAACTCTCAAAAATTCACTACATGCTTCCAAGTCTTCTTTGACATCTTCTTTATTTCCTCATGCCTGATTGGCTCCTGAAACTTCCTCTGGCTCCGTTCCCTTCTGTTCATTGTTCCTGGGACCACTGGGACCAGCATCTGTCTCTTCTGGACCCTCCGGGGGCCTGCCAGTTCATCCCTTTCCTTCCATCCTAACCTCTTATGTCCCAGCCTTCACGCTCTGCCATAGTGATCTTCTAACAACGCCCATTTTCTAATGGGTCAGAAGCTTTTGTGTGGTCTCTGTTTCTCACAAAGTCAAGTCAGGTTGCTAATAGTGGTTGTCCTTTCTGTCCTCCCCTAATCCACCTTACCTGCCACATCTTCCCTCTTCCTCCACATACGTGTGTGTACGTGGACACACGCAGTCCCACGTGGCTGCACACTGGGACCTCGCTTCTCTCTGATCTGCGGACTGTACTGGGCGTTTGTAAATGCACACCTGTGTCTTGCCCACGCCTGTCCTCCACTGCAGCACTTCGGGGTGAGCTCAGTGCAGACTCCCTTCTTGTCGAGCCTTCTCTAACTCTGCTTTGGAGCTTGTCTTTTCCTTTTCCCTTGTCTTTTCCTTTCCTTACAAGAGTCTTGCTCTGTTGCCTGGGCTAGAGTGCCGTGGCATCAACCTAGCTCACAGCAACCTCAAACTCCTGGGCTCCAAGCAATCCTCCTGCCTCAGCCTCCCGAGTAGCTGGGAGTACAGGCATGCGCCACCATGCCTGGCTAAATTTTTCTATATATTTTTAGTTCTCCAGCTAATTTCTTTTCTATTATTAGTAGAGATGGAGTCTTGCTCAGGCTGGTCTTGAACTCCTGACCTCGAGCGATCCTCCCACCTCTGCCTCCCGGAGTACAAGGGTTACAGATGTGAGCCACCATGCCCGGCCTTCTGTTCTTTTGAGGAGTGTTTATTGAGCACCTTCTGTGCAAAGGAGGGAGCTGTTGTGTAAGGAGAGGGACACGGGTCTGGAAGTTCTGGTTCAAATCTGTGACCTCCGCCCTGCGAGAACAGCTCCCTTAACTTCTGAGACTTTGTTGCTGACTTTTTAAAAAGAGGGTGTAATGAGGACTTTTTTGTAGTCCATGAAATAACAAATGTGATGCATCCTGCCTGGGGCTTTGTGTGAAAGATTGCCTTGATAAATGTCGCTGAATTTTGGAGTTTGCACATAAGACACAGGGCCTCCATTCTGATTAAGAAAATTGGTGTATGAGCAGTTTGACTTTAGAGTTCCCAAGGGACTGATTGGTGAGATCAGACATGCCTGGACTGACCTGGAAGGTGCGTTTGTCCTAGGAACAGCTGGGACCCCAGAAGGCAGCGGCAGTTGTCGATGAGCTCTGCGGACAGTGCTGATGCCAAACGTACTCAAGAGGAAGGAAAGGACTGGGCGGATGCAGTGGGCATGTCTCGTGTTGTCCGAAAGGTGCCGGAGCCTCAGCCACCTCCCAGGAAGCTTCACGGCTGGGCGTCAGGCCCCGACTACCAGGTACTGTGTGCCCGTGCGAGTTCTGTGCCTGGCTGATGAGCTGGGACACACACTCCTTCCAGAGTCTTTTGACCAGAGTTCCAAGACGAAGACCACAACAGTCCTTCAGTTTTCCGTCCTGTGCGTTTGTATCTCACCGAGTTCAGTGGCTGCATTTCTGAGAAACCCTAGGTGGGTGTTT